TTACATATCAGAAACACCAGCGAGCCCTCCCTAAAGATCAGCCTGCATCTCATGGTACTAACGATGAAGATGTTGATGAGGATGTTTCAGTAGTTATAACACTGTTGATAAAAGAGCAGCTATAAGCTACCTAGTGCTATCTTTATTAGAGACACTATTCTAAGGATTTTATATGCATAACCCATTTTTTCCTCATAACAATCCCAAAAAGTTGGTACAAAATGATTGACCTCATTTTACTGAAGAGAATTTTTTTTTTTTTTTTAGAGACAGAGTCTTACTTTATTGCCCTCAGTAGATTGCCGTGGCGTCACAGCTCACAGCAACTTCCAACTCCTGGGCTTAGGCGAGTCTCTTGCCTCAGCCTCCCGAGCAGCTGGGACTATAGGTACCTGCCACAATGCCTGGCTTTTTTTGTTGCAGTTTGGCCAGAGCTGGGTTTGAACCCGCCACCCTTGGTATATGGGGCTGGTGCCCTACCCACTGAGCCATAGGTGCTGCCCTAGTGAAGAGAATTTGAGGCACACGGGTTGAATCATGTACTTGAGGTCTCATAGCTAGCAAGTGACAAGTGAGATTTGACCTAAAGATTCTGAGAAAGTATATGGGGTGTCCATACATGAACTTTATGGCTGCCCTATATTTCTTTATCTGTGCTGTCAATTTATGTTCTAAACGTGTCCTCTTGCTAGAATCCTTCATATTTATGATTTTCTCATTGTTGTCTATATGCCATTGTTTCTGGTTAGTTCACCTTCCCTAGACTAGTTGGTGTTGTAAAAAATTCCCTACCCTTTCCCTCTTGTCAACCAATAAAACTATTTTCCATCTCTGAAAAATACAAATATATTTTTGTATTTTATGTATGTTTTATAATGTTGGTAAAATACTCAAAATTTATAGGCAAATCCATACCCATTAACGTCTTGCCTATAGGGCTGGGCACAGTGGCTCACACCTGTAATCCTAGCACTTTGGGAAATCGAGGCAGGTAGATTTCTTGAGCTCAGGACTTTGAGACCAGCATGAACAAGAACAAGACCCCATCTTTACTAAAAACACACAGAAAATTAACCAGGAATTGTGGTAGATGCCCATAGTCTCAGCTCTGGAGGCTGAGATAGGAGGATCACTTGAACCTGGAAGTTGGAGGTTGCTGTGAGCTAGGCTGACACTATGGCACTCTAGTCTGGACAATAGAGAAGACTCTGCTCAAAAAAAAAAAAAAATATATATATATATATATATAAGGTTTTGCCTATATTCTGATCTTAAAGAACAATTGAAAATCTTCGAACAATGGGCAATCTATCATGATACATCTTACTATTTTGTTTGAGATTTCTGGATGTAGTTCTCTGTGGTTTGTGACAATCTTTTGCCAACTTGAATGAGTCTTCTATCTGGTAAGGGAGCAAATACTGGTTATTATAAAAACAGAAATCATTATAATTGCAATAAAAATGTTACCATGTGCTACATAATGTATGTAATTGCTTGCTATGTGCCATGTATGGTGCATCTTTGTCATATTTTTTCATTTAATCTTCATAACCTATGAAGTCCAACTACAAAGAATCTTCTTTAACAGATACTAAAACTAATTTAATCTCATTTTAAAAGCTAAGGACAGTTAAGTAACTGTTTCAAATTGTACCTTCCATATAGTACTAAAAAGAAATAGAATAATGCAAAACAAAACAGAAAATGGTGAAATGAAAAACATATTCTAACATTATAATATGATTCATTTTACGCAAAAATGGGAAAAGTAAATCACTTACTTTTGCTTCCAGGATTTTTTGTTTGTTTGTTTGTTTTTAAGTTTTGGTTATTTATTCATCAGTATAATCCTCAACACAATACATCAATGTGCATGACTTCATGCATTTAGAAGAAAAATATTTCCTGGTTAAGTGGCAAATTGTGCGATGGCTTCTGGAAGACCTTCATTCTAAGCAGCTTTATTGTGAAACATTTGGTTTAGAAGTCTGGACTTTCTTTCTTCAGTTTGCTGTAATCCACATTCACTGAGTAGAACTTGTATTGATCAGTGGGAACCATTTTGTTCTGTGGTTCTGGGTTATTCTTTCTGTCCCAACTAACATCTGGATTGAACGATGCCAGATGCAAGACAGACAGGGCTGCTCCAGTACCTCCAGCTCCCATAAATACGAAGAGGGGAATCAAGCTCGGATGCTTCTTGGCCTGACTGAGGATCTGGCAAAGCATGTTTGTGGCAGAGGCCTTTAGTCTACGAGGAAAGAAAAATAAACATGCGGGTCAAGACCTGGACCAGGTCTTTAAAAAGAATTTTAATTGTTCCTATGCATTAATATTATCTGGAAAGTACAGTTGAACAAAAGGAAAATTACCCACAATTCACACTACCAAAAATAAGCACTATTGAATTTTGATGTACAACCTTCAAACTATCATTATTGTTATTATTATTATTTTAGAGACAGAGTCTCACTTTGTCACCCTCAGTAGAGTGCTATGGCATCACAGCTCACAGCAACCTCCAGCTCTTGGGCTTAGGTGATTCTCTTGCCTCAGCCTCCTGAGTAGCTGGGACGACAGGTGCCCTCCACAACACCCTGCTATTTTTTTGTTGCAATTTGGCCGGGGTCAGGTTTGAACCCTCTACCCTCAGTATATGAGGCTGGTACCCTACTCACTGAGCCACATGCACCGCCCAAACTATCATTATTTTTATTGGAATAGAATGTGGGGAATTATTTTCATTTTTTTATGTTAAGGCCGAAATCTGATGACAAATATTTGTTCAAAATTGTGTCTTTCAGATGGCCTTCCACCAACTCCAGGTAAGTTGTTAACCTTTCATTAGATTTCCTTTTTAAGTTTTACAATAAAAATGTGAAGTCATTAAATACTTTTTTCTGGTAAGAAATCATATTTTTTATAAAAACTACTATTTTATGTATTTACATATAAAGTAAGTAACTTTCAGAGTAAATGCAGGTAAAGAAATAATTTTACTGTTAATATTTGTGAGTGATTAAATATTTCATTGCATACAACTTCATAATGTAATTTTCTTTTTGCAAAAATCAAGTGTTTTTACTTATTTACTTTATTTCTTTTTATTGGTGGAGATTCAGTAGGGGTACAGAGAACCAGGTTAAAAATCACATTTTAAAGAACAGAATGAAATAGAAAGTGCCTTAAAAATGAAGCACACATTTTTCCATCTGTACTTTTATGTTCATCTTTATTAATGCCTACATGATATCATAAAGCTGTATTTTCTTTTAAAAACATTTTACTAATTGATATTTTTAATACTTCAATATTTTTTGAACTAATACTAATCATGTTGGAATGAGTATTTTTTAATCTAATCTGAATGTCATTTCAACAGAAAACGGGAAAGCACAGGCTAAGATACTGTAAAAGGAAAAAAAAATCCTATAAGTCTATATAAAATAACGGGCAGAATTATTCTTATTATTTTTTTTAGAGACAGAGTCTTACTTTGTTGCCCTTGGTAGAGTGCTGTGGCATCACAGCTCACAGCAACCTCCCGCTCTTGGGCTTAGGCAATTCTCTTGCCTCAGCCTCCCAAGTAGCTGGGTCTACAGGTATCTGCCACAACGCCTGGCTATTTTTTGTTACAGTTTGGCCAGGGCCAGGTTTGAACCTGCCACCCTCGGTATAGGAGACTGCCTTTCCCACTGAGCCACAGGTGTTGCTCCAACAGGCAGAATTATTTTATGATTGCATACTTTAAAATCCTTAAGAACACTAGTCAAAATTAATAATTTTAAAAGAGAATATGGCCATGTGGCTAAATATAAGATAAACACAACAGTCAGTAGTTTTCTCTATAATGGCAAGAACCAACTAGACATTGATGGAAAAGGAAAATATTGTATTTAGGGTCAATGACAAAAACAGCCTGGAATTAAATCAGCAAGAAATATGTAGGATTTATATAAAGTAAATAAGAAAACTGAAGAGTATAAAACCAATTCTGAAAACTTGAAGATCATGTCATGTTCTTGTGTGGAAGACATAATGCAAAAACAATGTCACTTTTCTCAAACTAATGTTTTTAATTCTATTTTATTACAGCTCAGTTTACAGTCTAAAAATAGTAAAATAAATGTTAGCTCCAAATTTTGTTTTTCAGAATCTAAAATTCTTCATCCAGAGGTCAAAGGTAAGTAATCATAAAACTTTTACTATTAAAATATACATTTTTAAAATTTTGTCAAAATTGAGCAATGGGGGGTTATTACTGGTACTTTTTTCCTTCTTTTATAAAATTAATGTAAGTACTTTGTAAATAGATTTTAAAAAAACCAGAAAAATGGGACCAAGTATGGTAGCCCACACTTATAAAACTAGCATTCTAGGAGGCCAAGGCAGGAGGATCATTGGAGGCTAAGAGTTCAACATCAGCCTGATCAAAAGTGACACCCCCATCTCTACAAAAATTAGAAAAATTAACCAGGTATGGGGGTAGGCGCCAATAGTCCCAGCTACTCATGAGGCTGAGGCAGGAGGATTGCTTGAACCCAGGAGTTTGAAGTTACAGTTAGCTGTGATGATGCCATGGTGCTCCAGTCTGGGTGATAGAGCAAGGTGGTATTTCATTTAAAAGCAAACAAACAGACAAACATAAACCCGAGAAATAAAAGTTACCTTAACTTAAACCAGCACTAATGTTTCTAACTCTTTAATTTCTGCCATTCTAACAGGGAAGAGCAGATTTTAAAATTCATAGAGAAAAGAATTCAATAACAATTAGCAATTTCATGAGCAAAAACAGTATTGGGTAGAAAAAAATAATTTGTTTGATAAAATATTTAAATATACTAAAATATCGTAGTACAAAGTTCATGGTATCAGCCCAGGGAAAGTCAAATAATGAGAAGAAAAAATATTTTTGTGATGATTGCTGGCTCCAGAGCCTGCTCATTTTACCATTGCGCTATCCTACCTCTCTACTAATTTTAATAAACTCTATAGAAAACATGAAATGGATCCCAGGATATATTAGAATTTAACACACGTTTTTAAATGTATAGATCATTTGTTTTATCATCAGTCTACCATTACTGAATAGCTGTTTGGAAAAAAATAAAGTTGCATTCTCCTCCTGCATCATATACAAAACCACATTCTTGCTAAATACAAATTATATGTAAAGAAACAAAATCATTTAATTTAAGGAGAAAATACAAGAAAATATATGAATAGCCTAAGGACCAGGAGATCTTTTAATACAAGGCAGGAATCATCTGTCATCCAGGGAAACCTGAACCATTGGTAAGGAAGATGAATTGCTATTGTCCTTTAAGAAAGCAGTATCCATCTGTGTTAAAGCTTCCCACGTGCTTTGTCCTAGTAACCTTGCTCTGGGGATTCTAGGCCTATGGAAAATGCTTCCGTATGTAAGGGTTTAAATACATGGAGTTTTTATAGCAGCTGTATTTACAGTGGGGGGAAAGTCTGCATGTAGAAAATACTGAATAAATTGTGAGAAATCCACATCACAGAACAAGAACCAGCATTAGAAGGGAGGTACGAGAGCTATAAGTTACTTGAAAAGGATTTCTAGGATGTGTTAAGTTAGAGCCTCGAGTTATGGACATAAAATACGATTTATTTTGAGGGATAGCAAAAATTCATGTGTGTGTGTGTATACTATTTTAAACATTACATGGCTGGATATTTTTTAGACATCTCACACACATGAGTGAGTGTATATACATGTATAACCATCAGAACTGATGTCATACAACGGCTGCCTGACAATTAAGTTCATGAACTCAGTACCATGCACTTAGGTTGGCAGCACTGTACGAACAGCTCAGCAGGGTTTCATAACCTTGATATATCAGTGTAAATCACTACTGTATTTGTGTTGATGTGTGATGTCTTTCTGAGTGGTGTTTGCTATTGTTTTTGCATGGTTTTGTGTGCCCTATGACAACAGCTCTGAAGGTCACTCCAGACAGAAGAGTTCCAGAATTGCTTTTAAGGGTGTACTAGGCTTTGGTATTGGTGCATAACTTCCCAAGGGGAGTACTTTGAAGGTGACCACAGTGAATCTCAGCAATGAGGCATGTAGCACTTTCTCTAGGATGAGTTTGTGAACCTAAGTGTCAGATTTCATATGTAACCACATACATACACATGTGTAGATGGAGAGATAGATCTTTCTATATCATTGAATGAGAGAGAGAGAAAGAGTCATCTCTGCAAGAAGATGAAGAAAGGAGATGGGGGTAGAGGGGTGGTGGTGAAGCAATTGTTGGTGGATAGTCTAGTCATACTTTCAAGCTTAGGATAGATTTCTGGAACTGACAGTTTATTCCCTGGGAAAGAAAACTGGGGCATGGGTATAAAACAAACAAACAAAATCCCTTCTGTCATTAGAGGCCCAAACAGCTCTGCCTTTGAGTGGTGCAATAATGTTCAATTTCAGAGTGCATCAGACCCTGGGAGGAAAGTCCCTCTGTTACATCTCCATAAAGACATTCAGAAACAGGTAAAGAATATTTTTTGTTTTCTCTAGATGGGAAGTGTGTCTTTCCATTCAAGCATAAAAACCTAATAATTCATGACTGCGTCAAGCTCAAGGCAAAACACAGTTGGTGCTCATTAAACAAGACTTACGAAGGATATTGGAAGTATTGCAACAAAGAGGGTGAGTGTCTTGCTTCTGAATACCTCAAGGTGGCCTTTTCTTTTTTTATCGTTTGGGACAAAGAATTAGGCTACACTGATTGCATTTGTTAGGTAAAGTCCCTCTTAAAATTGTGTCCAGCCCCCAAGAGGTGTGCCATACCTTGGCCGCTGAGGGTGAGATTTGGTGAGATATACAAGGGGGCTCTGAAAATGGAATCCATACCCAGTCAAATTGGAACACACAATAAGACTAAAGAACATGCAATTTCTGACAGTAAGAAAATCATGTTGCACCACAGATATATGATGAGCACTTTGATTACATTATCATGAAAAGAAATCTTGGCTGGGTGTGGTGGCTCACACTTGTAATCCCAGCACTCTGGGAGGCTGAGGCAGGTGGATTGCTTGAGCTCAGGAGCTTCAGGCCAGCCTAAGCAAGAGGGAGACCCCTCTCTACTAAAAATAGAAAAATTAGGCTGGCATTCTTCCTTTCTTTCCTTAAGATACCACACCATTCTCTTGCTCTTTCTCTCTCCTTGCCCCATCTTCCCTTCTCTCATTCCCTGCTTTCTACTCTTCCTTCTCTCTTTCTAATCTCTTCCCCCTACTCTTTTCCCTTTCTCTAATATAAAACTTATACTTTTATATTAAGAGAAAAAAAGAAGAAAGAAAAATTATCTGGGCATTGTGGCAGGTGCCTGTACATCCCAGCTACTCCAGAGGCTCAGGCAAGACGATTGCTTGAGCCTAAGAGGAGAGAAAATAGTAATTTTTGTATAACATTCAAGCAATATGGGATCTCACCATCCCACCCCAGTATTGTTCTCATGTTTTTGGTGAAAGAGGGCAGAACAGAAGTGTGTATGTGTGTGTGTGTGTGTGTGTGTGGCGTGGCAGAGGGGAGGTGTAAAATAAAAGGTTACTTATGTGGACTACTTTTTTCTCTGCAGACTTTGCAAAATGTGTGTTTCCCTTTTGGTTCAGACGCCTGATCTACTGGGAGTGTACAGATGATGGGGACGTATTTGGAAGAAAATGGTGTTCACTGACCAGGAATTATAACAAGGACAGAATTTGGAAATTTTGTGACTGATGGTGAGATTGACTGGGGGAGGAAGGATGAAGAAGTTTGATCATCCTTGTTGGAAAAAACCTATAGCTTTTGCTGGGAGGGAAGGAAGTAAAATCCTCATTAAAAGGGTTTATTTTTTTTTTCTGGGAAGTGAGATCCCCAATTTGAAGGGTTATTTGTCTGTAAATAAGTTGGGGTTTTCATTCTAGATTATAGGATTTTAACATGGAAACCTGTATTTTAGCCTCAGCACTTTTTCTAGCTAATTGTATAAAATTAGGTCCTTAAAAAAATGTTCAGGGACATTGGGTGATGAGTCAATATAGGTTCATCAGTTGGGACAAATATATCACTCTGATGGGGATATTGATAATGGGGGGGGCCATGCACGTGTGGGGGCAAGGAGTGTATGGGCAATGCCTGTACCCGCTACATCACTTAAAAATTGCTCTAAAAAATAAAGTTTGTTAAACATACAGGAGAATCTCTATAAGCTGACCACCCAAATGACTGTAACAAACTGGTCAACATAAGAAACTTCTGTGGAGTACATGTGGTTTATGTCTGGTCTATGAAAATTAGGTCAACTTAAGGAGGTGGTCCATGTAGAGAGGTGGTTGACTATGGAAGTTCTACTATAAATTTGAATATCTTGAATACAGGTAAAAAGTGCTAACTGAGGGCTGGGTGCAGTGGCTCATGCCTGTAATCCTAACACTCTGGGAAGGCGAGGCAGTGGTGGGGGGGGATTGTCTGATGTTAGGAGTTCTAGACCAGCCTGAGCAAAAGAAGGACTCTATGTCTACTAAAAATAGAAAAAACAAACAAACCACTAACTGGGCATTGTGGAGGGCACCTGTAGTTCCAGCTGCTGGGAGGCTGAGGCAAGAGGATTGCTCAAACCAAGAATTTGAGGTTGCTGTGACCTATGACACCACAGCACTCTACCCGGGGTGATAGTGAGACTGTGTCTCAAAAAAACCAAAGGTGCTCACTGAGCTAGAAATAGGTAGCTTCACATGTTAGAATGAAGTTCAAAAGGTCTGAGATATGAACCATATGAAAAAGAGTAGCATGCAGAGAGGAGCTGAGTGCATTGTACAGATGAGGGAAGGCCAGGGGGTTTGTCCTTGGTATGTCCACTGGGAACCAGAGGGTGGGCATGCTAGGGACTTAGGAGTTGGCTCTTAAGTCCAAAGAGAAGTCAGAGAGAGGTGTCAAGGAAGCAGACGCTAGATATAATCAAATGTGACTGTAAGGCACCATTGCTTTGGATCTGGGTGGGGAACAAATGGGAAGAGGGGATGGCCACATGCTGAATTTGGTTAGGTTTCCCAAGAGCCCAGATGGGAAATGGTAGTTACAGGCATCAGCACTGACTGGGGAGAGGGGCAAGAGTCGACGTCTGAAGGAAAAGTGGACAGAATAATTGGGAGTGGGGAGGGAAGAGTTAAGGATGAGTTCCCAGCTGTGGAATGATCAATGGCGTGGATTTTGTGGCCTCATTCTGAGAAGATATATTCTGGATAAGGAGCAAGCTGGGGATCAGAGAGGAGGTAGTGGTTCCATTTTTGCCTTTTTAAGTTCGAGGTATTTGAGATCTCTACCAACGAGACAGCTTTATGATCAGTCATGGAGCTCAGAGGACATGTATAGGTAGGGGACACAATTATGGGATTTGTTATGATACAGATGATATTTTAATTTATCATCTCACTGTCACTCTTTAACTACAGAAAATTTCAAACATACCCAAACATGGAGGGGATAGTGTAACATCATGATGGATCCCCATGTACTAATTACCCAAATTTAACCATCCACATTTGACGTTTGGCTTCAGTTATTCTTTTCCTTTTTTTCCCCTGCCAGAGTATTTTAAAAGAAGTCTAAAAGATGATTTCACCAATAAATACCTCTTTTTGCATGAGAATGGTATTTGATGTGAAAATATGAGTGTAGTCTCCCTAGAAGAGAGGCAGGAGAGAAGAGATCTCAGAAAACAGCCTGGAGTTACTGTGAAATTGTAAGTTTGTAGAGGAGGGCTCGGCGCCTGTGGCTCAAGCGGCTAAGGCACCAGCCACATACACCTAAGGTGGCAGGTTCGAATCCCCAGCCTGGGCCCACCAAACAACAATGACGGCTGCAACCAAAAAATGGCCAGGCGTTGTGGCGGGCGCCTGTAGTCCCAGCTACTTGGGAGGCTGAGGCAGGAGACTCGCTTGAGCCCAGGAGTTGGAGGTTGCTGTGAGTGTGATGCCATGGCCCTCTACCCAGGGGGATAGCTTGAGGCTCTGTCTCAAAAAAAAAAGTTTGTAGAGGAGGAATTCTGAAATAAAGTGAGACATGGAAACCAGGGAGAAAAGAAGACAGTAAGAAGTGTGTTTAATATCCTGTTTTTCATGGAAGAGGCATCTCCAGTAAAAGGAAGTTATCAATGGCATATAAAAGATCAAGTAAGATGTGTAAACATCCACAGTGTGTAAATTATATAATATAATAGCTGTAAGTTTATATAATATGTAATACTTGAAAGATGTCCATTGTGTTGGAACACATTAAATGTATTTAGTAGAAGTTTCCATAGAGTTGTGGGGGATACAAGTCAGAATGGAGTTATTTTTAGGGCTAATGGGTGGTAAACAATTGCACTTAAAGTATGTAGCCTACCCTTTTCTGAAGTTTGGGTCTGAAAGAAATAAAAGTATAAGTCATTTTAAAAAGTAAAAGTTGGGCATGATGGTGGTGCCTGTGGCTCAGTGAGTGTGAAATATACCAAGGTTGCTGGGTTTGAACCCGGCCCCACCCAAACAACAACAAAAAATAGCTGGGTGTTATGGCAGGCACCTGCAGTCCCAGCTACTTAGGAGGCTGAGGTGAGATTATTGCCTAAGCCCAAGAGCTGGAGGTTGCTGTGAGCTGTGATGCCATGGCACTCTACTGAGGGTAACAAAGTGAGACTCTGCCTCAAAATAAATAAATAAATAAAAAGTTGGCATGGTGTCTCATTCCTGTGATCCCAGAATTTTGTGAGGCTGAGGTAGGATTACCTGAGATGAGGAGCTTAAGACCAGCCTCACCAACATAGTGAGATCCGGTTTCTACAATTTTTTTTTTTTTTTTGTAGAAAATTAACTGGGCATGGTAGCATCTGTCTATAGTAAGTTTATGTAATATATAATACTTGAAAGATGTCCATTGTGTTGGAACACATTAAATGTATTTAGATAAGTTTCCATAGAGTTGTGGGGGATACAAGTCAGAGTGGAGTTATGGAGTTATGGAGTTTTTTTTTTGTTTGTTTTTGTTTTTTTTTTGAGGCAGAGTCTCACTTTGTTATGCTCGGAAGAGTGCCATGGCATCACAGCTCACAGCAACCTCTAGCTCTTGGGCTTAGGCAATTATCTCACCTCAGCCTCCTGAGTAGCTAGGACTACAGGTGCCTGCCACAACCCCTGGCTATTTTTTGTTATAGTATGCCCCAAATTAACTGGGCATGGTAGCATCTATCTATAGTCCCAGCTACTTGAGAGGCTGAGGCGGGAGGACCACTTGAGCCTGGGAGATGGAGGTTGCTGTGAGCTATGATGATATCACTGCAGTCTATCCTGGGCAGCAGAGTAGTACCCTGAAAGAAAGAAAGGAAGAGAAAAAAGCCCAGGAAGGATGGAAAGGAGGTAGGGAGGGAGGGAAGGAAGAACGTGGAGGGTGAAAAAGAAAACCAGATTAAAAAGGTAGCTGTTGAAGAAGACTATAGGGTCTACAGGAGAATGAATGAACTTATATATAAGATACAGGCAGATGAGAGAGAGTTAGACACATAGACATGTAGATACAAATATAGACACAAACGCATTTGTATGTTCACACGCACATATACGTATGCATGTACAGACATAGATGTATGTGATTGTTCAGAGGTAAGAACAAGTAGACAGAACGTGACTGATGGAGGGTTGGGGGTTCAAAATTGAAGGAGTTTCTATTGCATTTTCTCAGAAAAGTAGTGGAAAATGTGAGAGGTGGGTATTTAAGGAGAGTAGGAAAGGTAGGAATGGTCATTGAAGAGTGGCAAGTAAGATGGCCAGGAAAACATGTAGTAAGAGAGCTGACCAGCACGGACAGCTGGCGGAGGCTACCATGCCAGCAGGAAGCTGGTGACGCACTCATATTGGGTAATCATGGAACACCCGCAACTACGAATTACCCTGCGGTGTTCAGAGACGGTAACAGCAAGACCTGAAGGATGAGAGGAAAGAGACATTTTTGGAATTGAGAAGGGGGAAAGTAAAGGAGCAAGAGAAAGGGGGGAGGATGGGCAGAGAGTGAAAGAACGGGCAGAGAGAGAGACAGAGTAGGAGAGAGAGAATGAGAGAGAAAGTATGTGTGGGGGAGAAAGTGGGGAGGGAGAAAGGGAGACAGTGTGAGAGAAAGGAGGAGAAAATGTGAGAGAGACAGTGAGAGAGAGTAGAAGTGAGAATGAGAGTGGGGCGAGGGAGAGAGGGAGGGGATGGGGGAAGAGAGAGAGAGACAGAAAGAGAGAGAGAGAGAGAGGCAGAAAAAGGACTGTTTGGCAGAAGCTATGAGCTGTGGAAGTGCTCAAGTGATGGCACGGGAGCCAAGGGAATTAGTACCCAACTTCCTTCCCTCCAACCCAGCAGTCCGCAACCTTTTGGCACCAGGGACTGGTTTCGTGGAAGATAATAAATATTTCCATAGGCTGAGGGGGTAGGGTTGGGTTGGGTGGGGGGAGATGGTTTGGGAATGATTCAAGCACACTACATTTTTGTGAACTTTATTTCTATTATCATTACTGTGTAATATATAATGAAATAATTGTACAACTCACCATAATGCATAATCAGTGGGAGGCCTGAGCTTTTTTCCTCCAACTAGAAGGTCCCATTTGGTGGTGGGGGGGGGGATGGGAGACAGTGATACTGAAGGGTGTTTCTGCTATAAATCCTGCCACTAGATGCAGCTTAATTTTCACTTGCCACTTATTGACAGCTTTTTTATTT